GTGCAATTCAGTACAGCACGTACGAAGTGTTCTCATCTTACTCTGTCTTCTCCGCTTGTCGCCTGGTAACGGCTTTCAATGCCGTAGCTTCCTTAGTTTCTGTCTCTACGTCCTCTCTACGCACTGTCTCTCAACTATTTCGTAATTGCACCTGTTCCTAGTTATATAACCTCGGCACAGACTTAATGAAAAACACCTCTCCCAACAGTTATTGTATTGTTGCGTCACGTGCTCTCGCACGGACCTTGCAAAGAAAACCGCTTTGCAGTTACTCCATTGTTGCATGTTGTGAATCTGTTTTTTTAGTTTCTTGGCGTGGGGTGAGACTGAGTCCACTTGGTACTTCGGCCAGTATTTGGCCCATTGTACTGGCCCCGGGAGATAGATGATGATGAATGTAGAGCGGCCGGTTGAATGAGAATTGGCAGGGGAAACCGAAGTATTCAGAGGAAGCCTGCCCTATTGCCACTTTCTCCACTACAAATCCCACATGGCCTGACCTGTGTTCGAACTCGGGCCACAGCGGTTGGAAGCCGCTACTAACCGCCTAAGCTATGGCACGGCCTTTACAAATCTGTTGCTTAGCAACGGAAAAGTTTACTTCTCTGCTTGCTTCACGGTCCTTGCCTTGAGCAAGTGATAATATGCCATGGTACTCGTATTGGTAACGGTGAATGTTAGGAACTGCAAGTTGCGCTACCTGTGGGCCGCAGCTAGGGACAGTTACGTGAGTTGGTCCTTACATCCTGCTGCTGAATATACGTAATATTTCCCCTGCTGATCTTCTCTAAGACGTAGATTCTAAAGGGTTCTGGCGATGGTGTACGACACTCAGAGTTGCTTTGTTTTCGACTATCATCCGGTATTAAAAAAAAAAAACTAGAGAACACAACGTTTCGGATACTGGATCAGTTTCCGTCCTCAGATGAATGGGAAGACACCTACTCTTTTGGGTCCCTTAGAAATAAATGTTGTCCAGTGATTGAGTTTAGTTCTTTCATAGGACCTAACAGAGTAGGTGTCTCGCCCCTAACCTGCGGATGGAAACAGATCCATTTTCCGAAACGTTTTTTTCTATAATTCAAGAATACTGGACGATGGACAAAGTAATTCTGAGTTCCCAACGGCTTGTTTGTGCAACTAATGGCTTATGAATAAATCCATGCCCTTTATCCATAGGCTGCAATGTCACTGCTTGCAGACTTGGCCTTGTATCCGCACGTGTATTATGAGGCTGTAGTCTTCTGTGCGCATGCATGTGTATGTCCGTGCGTGTGGTGTCAGGTGACATAATTCGTGGCTTGAATATTAAAGAATTGTATCTCTATTTTCGGTAGTAAATATGATAATGCAGTTTTTCTAACCACCCATATTGTTTCTGTATATCTCCATATAACTCTGTAGGTTTAACTTACGCTCAAATGTTATACTTCAGGATGCGGTTTATTCCGAGTCATATATTAAACCACAGTTGACTGTCTAACTTCGAAGGCAGTCTCCCAGAATTTGGTGCTGATGGACACAGTACACTCCAGTACTCAGTGGCCAGCACCATTAGGCAGTGGACTAACCGTTTCATAGTCAGTATGTGAAGGCCAACGAATTGATGGTTTTCGCTAGTCTGTTTCAGAAAATTCACACTGAACGTGTGGCCTAATCTTCCTGTGGCACGGTAGTTGATTCGTTAGTTAGTGAATACAAATAGCAGATACGTTCAGCTTTATCCCTGCAGCAGCCTCCCCCCTTCCCGACGAATTGCGCATGATCGAACCCGTGGTGTACTTCCCACACCCCTGTGGGTTTACAGAGTTAATAATGATAGTAAAAAAGTCAGTTTATCTTTTATAAAAACGGTTTATTTTCTTATAAAATAGAAGCACTGCAGTTTTTCTGTCAGTATTGACCGTAGATTCAGATAAAATTAAAAAGAAATACAGTTTCACCTGAACTCTTTACGATTGAATGGTCATAAGTTTATTAACTTCAGATGCAACAATCTTGTGTATCACAGTTGCATGCTATTCATATGGAAATTGGCAGCATGGTTGCAATGTACAATTATGTCCGCATATTTCAGTGCCACATTTTAACGCTCTGTTTCTTTCACCAGTTCTTCATGTGTGTCTTCTTCACTTTCAGATGCGTCTCAGTATTCTGAAAGAAATGCTGCCGCTTCATCTCAGAACAAGTTTGTTTTCGCTCTTTGAATAAAATGTTACTTTACGAGGACAACAAATTATTAAAAATTTATTTTCGCTGCTTGGGATTTTTTGCGCAGGAATAGTGCTGAACTTGCCCTCGTGTTCCCGTCGTGTTCGTTCGTGAACACTGATTTTAGCTTCTCCTCTGTTGCAGATTGGAAGTGTCTTGAGTGAGATCGAAGATTCTCAGGGCGGTATGAAGATTACGATCACGTGACTTGTCCAGTCAGGTAAGTGGATCACTCTTTGCTTTTCGGTTAAAATTTTCAAAAACCAAATTTCAAGTCAGCTGGGAAGGTAATGTTTCCGACGTCAATCATGGAGATGCACAATTTAATCTTGGTGGGATCTGCGAATGTATTGACCGATGTTCTTCCTTGCTTTTCCCCAGTCCGTCCAAGCGAGCGCCGGATAAGACCGTTGAAATCGGCCACGAAAACTTTCCTTTCATGCTGTTTCCAATTCATCATTCATTGATCGTGCTACAATTCAAAGCTGTGGGCAGTGTAACCAACTGACGGCGTCGTTAAATGAACCATACGCGAATATTTACCAGGAATTAAATACAGGGTTATTCATAAGTCCGTGAAATATTTTGAAATTTTACAATAAATAAACAACGCAACGGGTACCAAATTTTATTACACTGAAATAGGGATAAACTCACCAAGTTCTTTTACATAGTTCACAGATGCTGAATGTGTCCACCTTTGCTGATACGGCAGACATCTATGCGATAATCCATTTCGTCCCACACCCGTGTCAGCATATCGCGGTTGAGCAGAGCCACAGCAGCGGTGATACGGTTGCGAAGATCCCTGAGATTAGCGGGCAATGGAGGCCTTTAAGAAAAACTTGGAGAGATTCATTCTCTATCGGCGTAAGAATTACTGTGATCCGATGCATAGTTTATTTGTTGTGAATTTTTAAAATGTTTCACGGATTTATGAATAACCCTGCATACGTTTAAATATGAATCCTGTCAATGTAATATTTTCACTTTCTTTGTTATTATTCTGTAAATTTGTTATTTGTGGAAATTTTTAGTTCTGTCATAATTCATCACGTTTGCAGCCCTGCAGTCCTTATCGTGAAAACATTTCTGCTCACATAAATCTTCTCAGAATTTAAGACCTAAAAAAGTTTGCGATTTTGGTACATTATTACAAATATTATGTTTCTTGACATTAGCAATCGTCCTGTTTTTATTTAAAACACAAGGAGACTGGACTCTGCATCCGTCTTCGGGTAAAACCTTCTCATTGGGCCCAATTGGTGCCTATCTCCGGACACCTGCACCAACGCAAGACAGGATATACTAATCAAGTAAAGCACGAACCATCTGCGAGAGTTAAGTCAAAACATTAAAACATTTAATAAACTCTACACTTATGAAGCCTAGCACCAGAGAACTATTAGAACAGAAGTCATCACTACAGAGATAAATTACCTGTATAGTACCGACATAAAAAACACAAATTTTCCCAAATATCTACATTGGACCGAGTTGTGTTTTTTTAATTCTTCTGTGATAACGGGAGTCCAGATGAGAGAGATGTCCAAGCTGGGTTGACTGATCGGATGGTCTATCAGAGACATGTGGGCTGATTCCTTGTATTTCCTGTAGGCGGTGTTCAGTTCNTCGATCAGTCAACCCAGCTTGGACGTCTCTCCCATCTGGACTCCCGTCATCACAAAAGAAGTAAAAACCTACAACTCCGCTCAGTGCAGGTTAAGTGGAAATATTTGTATGTTTTTTTTTTATTTTGGCACCATACAGACAAATTATCTCTCCAGTAATGACATCTGTTCTGATAGTTCTCTGGTGCTGGGCCTTATACGTGTGAGGTTTTTATGTTTTAATGTTTTTACTTAACTCTCCCAGATGGCTTGTGATGTGCTTGGTTGTATATCCTATATTGTGCTGGTGGCAATGTCCGGAGATAGGGACGTAGGGCCCAACTGAGTAGGTTTTACTTGAAGGAGGAGACAGAATCCAGTCTCAGAAACGTTGTGTTTTAAACAAAAGACGAAGCTGTTTTAAATAAAAAACATGACGATATTTGGTATTCTCAGAATTTGTTGTACACTGTATATTGTCGTGATTACAATACACAATAACACACAGTTTCACACGGAAATGTTATTCTCTTTGAAAAAGGAAAAGTATGTGAAATTCCACCCTAAGGCATAAGGATACACAAAATTTCACACTGAGACCAATGGATGCATGAAATTTCACTGTGAGACTAATGGATACATGAAGTTTCTCTGTGATACCAATAGATACGCGAAGTTTCATTGTGAGACCAATGGATACATGAAGTTTCTCTGTGATACCAATAGATACGCGAAGTTTCATTGTGAGACCAATGGATACATGAAGTTTCGCTATGAGAACAATGGATACGTGAATCTTCACTGTGAGACCAACGGATACATGAAGTTTCACTGTCAGAACAAAAGATGCATGAAGTTTCACTTTGAGACAAACGGATACGTGCAGTTTCACTCTAAAAAACGTATACGTAAAGATTCACTTTGAGACAAACGGATACGTGAAGTTTCACTCTTGAAACAAACGTATATGTGAAGTTTTACTCTGAGACAAACCTATACGTGAAGTTTCACCCTGAGACCAACAGATATGTGAAGTTTCACCCTGAGACCAACTGATACGTGAAGTTTCACCCTAAAACCAACGCATACGTGAAGTTTCGCCCTGAGACCAACGCATACGTGAAGTTCCACCGTGAGGCCAACGGATACGTGAAGTTTCACTGTGAGACCAACGGATACATGAAGTTTCACCCTGAAACCAACGCATACGTGAAGTTCCACCGTGAGACCAACGGATACGTGAAGTTCAACCGTGAGACCAATGGGTACATGAAGTTCCACCCTGAGACCAATGAGTACTCGAAATTCCACCGTGAGACCAACGGATACGTGAAGTTTCACTGTGATACCAACGGATACGTGAAGTTTCACTGTCATACCAATGGGTACGTGAAGTTTCACCCTGAAACCAACGGATACGTGAAGATTCACCGTGATACCAATGAGTACGTGAAGTTTCACTCTGATACCAATGGGTACGTGAAGTTTCACCCTGAGAGCAACGGATACGTGAAATTTCACAGTGAGAAAAGCGTATACATAAAGTTTCACTGTGATACCAATGGATACGTGAAGTTTAACCCTGAGAAGAAGGGCGCCGCCAAATTCTAGTCTGAGACCAGCAGATCTATGGCGATTTACTCTGAAACTAAGGGATAGAGGGTCAGATATGACACGAGATAGCACAGAGCAGATACTGCTGTCTGCTGCGTCGCTGAGGCAGTCTATTGCATGGTCAGTGAAGGACATCCAACAAAACGACAATAAAGGTATTGTCCTATTAGCCTTCAGGCCGAGAATGACCAGCACAAAATAAGCGAACAGAATTGAGTCTAATAAAAAGAAATTCCAATTCCTCCAGCTCCCCTCCCCTCTTCAAAACAGAGTCATTGCAAAGCTCTTACTGGCCTTTCTGAATTGGTACCAGCATTCAGAATTGTACAGGCCGCGTTCCACAATGGAGGCAGGATGGTCACGTGATACAACATACGCTGTTTAATTGATCTTTGGTTTTAGCACCCTGTTGTGATTTGTACCAATCTATTGTTCGCAAGCACACTAAGGGTATGCGATATAATTATATTGTCAAGCACAATAGACCACTGTAGGTCGTGGTGCAAGGGCCGAGAAGGCCCACCACTTATACATTTATTATATTATACATAATTATATTGTCACGTATGTGGGGTTTGCGTGACTAATAAAACGGATTTTTGATGTGATGATCGAATTTATTAGACCTTTGTACAACTGGTTACAACAGTTCGCAAATTCCTATCTTCGACTGAACACTCTCGACTTCGGACCATACTTCACTACTTCGTTGTTCTCCGTCCCGTCTTCTGTGTCCTCTTATAACCCCTCGGCACGGACTCCACGGAAAACACCGTCTTCTGCTGTCAGGAATGCATGTTTATTTGTCCGTTACCTAACAATGGATATCCCATTTTCGAGCGCTTGTGTCACGGAAACGTATTTTCCAACTCGTTCCCTAGCAACGGGTCTACATGTCACAGTATGCTTTAGAGGAAGTAAACAAACACTGGCTGATATATTTGAATAAAATGCAAATGTAAATGTCTTCCCGTGCTTAATTAATTAAGGGCTACTGCATTAAGAAGTACGGGGAGTTGCTTATAGATGCAGACTTTCCTGACCTGGGTATTAGATGGAGATGAGTGGTCAGGTTTGCAAACCGGCCTCTTAAATTCCGAGGAGGGCCCCCATTGGATAGGAGGCTGGGTGAGCTGCAGTATCGGTGTGGACACTGTGGAGAGAAGAAAATATCTTACCCCTGCCGAGAATCGATCCCTAACTCCTGTAGCCAGTCGCTATACCGATTGAGCTTACTCGGTTACTGATATATTAGCATAATTGAAATATTTTTTATTTTAAATTAAAATAGGTAATTGTATTTATGATAGTGCAGTAAGTGAACTGAGGCACTCACAGTAGAGACTATGAGGATGTGAAATTATGCAGCCTGGCAAACAGGCATTTTTCTAACGTCCTTATTTCTTCTACCGTACAAATGAAGGAAGTATGTTCTTCCATGGCGATGGTAACTATCAGTAAAATTAAACGTTGTCACATCCCAGAAGACGGTGCTTCAGAACACTCTTGTTTGTTTCATATAAAACTTTTATTATTATTTATATTATCACGTAGTATAGAGTGATTATAGACGAAGTTTTCGATTGATTATTGCATTTATTGGCCACTTATACACATAACTCGGAACTACAAGTAATTACAGCTCCATCGCTAATCTCCACATTTCACAAATTACTACAGCACTCGCTAAGTTTTTTCTAGCTGCTGTGTCTTCACCAGGCGCTCCCTGGTAACGGCTATTAACAGTGGAGATTCTTCAGCTTCACGCGTTCAATCCCTCTCTGAACGGTGGCTATCTTCCAACTGCCTATTTTCCTCACAGACTTCCATACAGAACTGACTCATTTGCCCCAGTTGTCTTCTTTATAACCCATTTGCACGTGCCGACTAGAAAACGCCTTCTCCAACAGTACCTGTATTGTTGAATACTTATCCGAGCCGTTGCCTAGAAACGGATTAGTTTCAGAGTCGTTCACTAGCAACGGCTGTTTCTCTGGCTCCACAGTTCTTGCTTTAAGCAAATATACCACAATAATCTCTTCTGATCGGTCGGTAGGGCAAGTAGCTGCTGGTCCTCGCCAGCACAGTGATTCTTGGTTCAGAGTCCCACGCGACTCGACCATATGTGACGGCTCTGGGGGACTTCACACAGCATTCTCTTCTGATTGCACAGTCTTGTATGTATTGTAAATGCAACTGCTCTGTTTTCTGCTGAGGGCCTAATGGAGAACACACAAGATATTATGAAATTCAGTATGTACGGTAGCCACAGCTGTTAAAGCGATCTGCAAGTGTTGCGGTAGCTCTATGCGATTCGAAATCACATTCCCACTCCTTTCTTTAATTACGTGATTGAGGATCAAAATCTGCTTGGGTATCAAACCATGTAGTCCGGTAGAAATTCACGGACGTTTTCGAGGAACATATGCATCCATCTTCAGGATCGAAGAGTAAAATAGACAGGCGGCAAGACGGTAAACGAGTAAGAACGACAAAGTAAAGCTATCCCTGTAACAGGTCGTGGAGGCCCACATGGTTGTGAGACGTCAAGGCTCCAAAATTTTCTAGAAAAACCCCTCACAGATGGCGATGAAGTTGTCAGCCTAAAGCGCCGGCCGTCCTTTACTTCCAGGAAGATTCCTGGTACTCATTTCTGTTAGAGGCTGAGTCGACCCCAGGGCCATAGTGCAGCTGGAAGGATTATGTCAACTGGAAAATCCGATGACTTCACCGGAAATCGAACTGCGACCTTTCAGCTTGTAGCATACTGCCTCAAGGAACTACGCTACCGCGTGAGAGTAAACTACAAAATTTTTATTTGAATGTTATTCCTTTTCGATTGTTTAAGAAACTATTCATTGTGTTGTTAACGGAGGAGCGTAGCCAGAGGGAGGAAGTTACCAGGAGACTGCAGAAAATTTCATAATGAAGAAATTAATAATTTTTACTTCTCACCAAAATTATTAGAAGAATCAAATGAAGGATGAGATACGTAGGGCATGTAGCATGCATGGCACAGAAGTTTATACAAAGTTTTGATAGGAAGTCCTGAAGGAAATATACGATTACGAAAGTATACATGTGAGTGGGAGAATAATATTAAAATAGATGCTGTATAAATGTATTGGGAAACAGTGTTCCCTCTATGCCGGAGATGCAAGTGCGCAACCCGTCTTCTGAGAAGCAATTGGGTTCGCTTTGGCAACCCGGAGGGGGGGGATCTCCAGAAATTTTTGAAAAAGTTCAAAACAGATAAATTTATAAGCTCTCAGATTAACACAAAAATTAATTTTTTGAATATATTTTTATTAATTCAAATTTACTGTATACGAAACCATTAAAAGTGCTCGGGAGTACGACAGCCTTCTGAGTTCGTAAAATTTTGGGACATTTCTTGGCTTGCTGAGCAAATATTAATTTCTCAATAAGGACACAGCTCCATGAGATAAAATAGACGATGTAGTTCTTCTCCTTTGAGAACCTGGCATGGCATGCAATATATAGGCAATATTAACGTAATGAGACTCCTGGGTACGTATGTTTGAAATGTTCACATACGTATCAAAAGAAAGTAGCTGATTGAACCTTCTCAGAACTTCTTGTTAGCATACTTTCTTATTTTGAAAAAAATAGAATTATGCTTATGCGATCTCCATCCCGTCTGTGTGATTGTGAACCCTCCTCCCAACCAGCCTTTGAATTTCTAACCCCAACTTTATGAAACTTGTATGTATATCGTGACACCTGAGCCCATCCCAATGGAGTACTTCATAAATACCTCCATCAGTCTGTGTGTGTATTCCCCTGTCGGTATACACGTTCTCGCGGCAACGAATACACGAGTAATACGCGTAGTTTCCTATTCGGCCCGTGCATTATCAGAAGAGTGTGGGTTTGTTTCTGTATCCCCTATCGTGGTAAGACAGTGGCTCGGTAAACATCTCCCCAGAACTTACTGTTTGTATAATGAAACTACAATTCTGTATATTTGTGAATTTGTCTGTCTGCCTGTCTATATTTCGCTAATTTCTAATTTGTGAGGTTATGTCGGTGTACCCCCTGTCCTGCCCCTAGTTTTTGTTAGGAGGCTTATGAGGTCCCCTTACTCTCTGTGTATCCCCCTTATTTTTTTTCGTTTTCTATCCGGTCCGTGTTGCATAAGGAAAGAAAGAGATTAATTCTTCTCAGGGCTTATTATTGTAACAAAGTGTAGTTTTATAGGCTGATAAAAACACTTCGGAGGAATATGCTGCCTCTCTCTTCATGGTTGAAATTTGTGTGTTTAGGAATTGGTTCGGTTATAGAGCCAAGTTACAAGGGGCTGGTCATGTGGCCAGAAGGAGTGGGAAAGAAAAGACGCTAGATCCGGGTCAGCGGGAAAGACTGGTAATAAAACGGCCCTTTTAAAGGCCAAACTCTCTCTTTGTCAAAGGTAGAGGAAATGGAGCAGAAAGAAGTGACGATCTTTAAAATTGTCCCTGCTCTTAACTACTTAAGCATTGCACATTATTTATCTCGACACTAGTTGTTTCACGCCCCGGCCGTTTTACCCTTGACGAAAACTCCCTGGTGTAGGCCGTGGAGGCATATAGGCTTATGAGACGTCGAGGCTCCCACATTTTCTAGAAAATTGGCTCACAGATGGCGTCAGGTGAAACAGTGTAGCAAGAAAATAAATAATATTTGACTCTCAGATACACAATAAAACATTTCCAGCGAGAAAGTATTCGATATCATAACCGTTATTTCCTTAAAATGGCTGCAGCATTAAAGAAACCTATCTCTTGAGTCTGAACGCTGTAATGTTTTTCTGATATGCAGTTTTCTTGGCAGGGAACACAAGGGACAGTGCACGTGTGTCTACGTTGCTGAACAAGGTGAAGTGATATGTTCTGGGATCGATATGTGGTGTTTTAAGAGGCGTTAAGCTTCTTCAGGGCCAGGCGTCTCAGTACTGGAATTTGTGTGTTCGCCGACGTCTGATTTCATTCTTTCTC